TCTAATTTTTTAAGAGAGTTATGACTATGTAAAATATTACAATATAAAAATGCTCTTACCTCGCCTTAAAATTAAAACATCGTAAAAAAACAACGTGCAAACACGTAGGTACATACATATAATATTTCGATACTGCCTATAGACTGTAAATTCACTCTCATATAATATGAGCCAACAACACAAAATCGGTGTTGCTAAACGCACATTTGCTATATTGTAGGTATAAGCGTTTGTTAGACAACACACACGGGTGTGGCATCTTCTATTTATATCTTGAGTAAATAATTTCAAGACATTTTTTTAATTTTTACACCTATAAAAACCAAAAAGGAAAAAACAAACATACATTGATTTTTCTTCCATAAAATATAATATCGATTAAAAATAGAGTTTCGTTAGATCACGTTTTAGTAATTAAATACTTAAATATATTAATGATAAGTCAGATATAAATTAAACAACCTGTATTAAATTTGAAGGATAAACAAAACATATTATATTATGTATACCTACATGCGTTTGCAACACAACGATGGTAATGCAATTCAATAAAATATAAATCTGATACTTTGTGTGTACGTATGATAATGAGCATGGAAATTATGTGTAAAATCATCTATTGTTGTATTGCATACCATTCGTTTAATACGTGTAATTAATATGGCCCGACAGTCTTTAAATTGAATTACCCAATGTAATATGATTTGACCCTGTTAATCACTTTTGTGTTTTACTTGATTAATATTCCTTATTTACAACTGGTCGGAATTCATTGAGTATTTAAGTATAACGAGTGCATTATAAGCTATAGATGTTTAAAACATAGCGTGTACCTATATCGTCGCAGCTTACAAAGATAATAATTAATTAAGCAGATGCATGTATTATCTAAGAAACGTTATAGGGTACCCATGGATAATATTATAAATTTTATGTTGTTGATAAAACTCAAGTGTTCGTTGGAAAATAACTTTATTGGTTTCCAATAATTATGTAAATATTGTTATTATGGTACGACATAAGTATCTCCACTAATAGGTTACCACGAGGCTATTTACGACAAATATAAAATTATGCAAACAAATCAATACATACGCTGAAAATAATATATTGTAGACATTTTTAATACTGAACACAATAGGATTTTAATGAGGTATGTCATTAAAGTATTGTACAACTAATATAGTAGTTTTGTTGATAGTATAATATTTAAGTATTAATCAATCATTTGTCATCACTCACCACTCGTCATAAAATTATTTTCTCTTTGAACTGTGATGCGTATAAATATGAGAAATTTGACCGTATTCACCTTTCTACGACCTATACAACCTTTTGTTACTATGCAAATTTTCGTATCGTATCATGCCCGTATAACATATTTAATAATATACGAAGTACAATATAATAATACAATGTGAGTAATAGCCAATAGGTAACCTGTAAGCTGTAGACATGTATAAATAATTAAAATAATTAAACATGTTAAGTTTTTGTTTTAGTTATTACACATATAGATATACCAGGTAGGTGTTATGCTATAATCAGGAGGAATTTTAACTTTAGCCGATAAAACATCAAGTTTAGGCTGAAGTTTCTATACAGTTATTGTAAGTTAGTAGTATAATAACTAATTCCTATGTATGGATTGTACTTATGTATCAATTACAGTGATAGTGAGATAAGGTTTTATTTTCGGAAGTAGGTACCTAGATGGTGTTTTATTAAAATTATATTACAAAAATATACATATATTAGTTATACTATGTGCAGATTTATTTTTAATTTTTAATTTTTTTTTTTTAAATTGGTTACTATAATAGGTACTTGTGGTTTCTTAAATCTCCATGATTGATAAAAATGTTTTTCTTTGGTCCAATGTTATGAGCAGACATTTAAATGATGACATCTCATTATTAGTTCTATACTACCTATAATATTACTTAACTAATTATTTTTTGTTATGAATTAATTAGACATATCTAAATTAATTTACTGCTCGATGACATGATGTACCTACGCTACGTAAAATATTTACGTTAATTATATTATTAGTTACGCTAACTAACTATGTAACGTAACGTTGATATTTTTTTTTTAAATCCAACCAGAAATAAATAGTTGAGATCATCAATCATCATAACATAATATATGATATATCAATAGAACATAAATTTAAATGGTATAGTATCACGATAAGTGATTTCATAAATATAAACAATGCAGATTGTTACAAGAACTGTACAAGTTTTATTATATAGGTATAATCAAGTTTGAAAAAAGAAGGGTTAAGAAAATTACAGTTTTTTGGGAAACATTTTCTTTTCTTTTTTTAAAGGGTAAAACAATTGTATGAAAAATATTATACTCTTATCCTGAAAGCTACAAGTAATTTTAAAGTTCTCCAATAGATTAAACCCAATTGATTGCAATTATAATAATTTATTATTATTTTATCTGAAAAAACACGTATTTCTTAAAGTTAAATTACTTTATTAATATCGTTATTATCTACCTCGTCCTTGTGGTTTACAATAATATATAAAATAATTACACCTATATCCTATCATTAAAGTCTCCGGAGACCGGAAGATGACGAAGTTTACGAAGATGACGAAAATTTATAATACTCTAGTTTCAAATAGTATTATATTTACGAAAAGTTTGATAGCATATACAATTATTGTCACTGTGAGTTTTTAATATCATACCTTGATTGTATGACTTTAACTATTAGAATTGAAATATTATAATTTGTTAATTGTCAACGATTACAATGACTCATATGTATATAATATATAATATAGATTGTCCGTATTGCATTATTATTAGTTATCACCAATTTGTCTCCGGCAGCTACATGGAATTAAAAAAATTTTTTGGGGGATTATTTAGCATGGAATTATAGCGTGTATATTTGCATACTAACTTTTATAATTTGCAGGTTTTTTATTTAGGCGTGCTTTCAACAATTATGCGGGGAGCGTGTCTTATTGACACGTGACTCCAATTTCCCCATATTTAACAAAAAAAAATATTTTAAAATTTGATCTCAACAAATATATTTTAACATTTATTTACACGACGGCTGGTCCCGAAACTTTATGGTTAGGTTACAAACGTTAGGTTTAATTCGTTGGTTAGCAATATTATGTTCTCCTAATTTGTACGTGCCACCGCTCCACCCCGACATGAAGATGATATAGGTACTGAAGATGCACATGTCCTACTAAATTATGCACCCAATAATAATTTTCCTAGGTTATTTATACCCCCATGGGGCTAGTATTACATTTGGGATGTATAGATATCCAAGGAATATTATACCAGGGGCCAGAAATTATCAATTTTGAGGGGGTAATGTTATAAATTAACAAATAACTAATAAGTAATAACACATTTAAATAAATTGTGGTGGTAATACTGAAGACAAAAAAATGGGACTCTATGGAACAACTGGAAGGGATTTAACCCTTAAAACCTCAAACTCTGCAGGGCACGCCACTGACCGGTGATATATATTTACGATAGCTTATTCGTACCCTACTACCCTCGGTAGGTATTATTCTTCTGATTATTTTTGTACCCCTAGTATATTATAGGTAGGGGTAACTTAGGGGATTTTACCCGGCGTACTATTAATCTAGAAAAATCATGCCCAGGTATTAATATCCGGAGTTTGATTTGCACGTCACAATTACATTTTAAATTACAAAAAAATGTTCAAATTCCAATGTGTGGAGGGGCTGGTGACAAGTAGGTACGTTAAATTTGAGTAATCGAATTTTCTGTGAATAATATTTATCTACATATCATGTATAATTCTTGTTATTGCTGATTGGTGAGTCTTAACTTTCAAATTCAAACCTCATCGATATTGCCTGCTATGGGTATATACGTGCCATTTAAATAATTCAATTTGCTGTCTATAGTTGATTTAACTATTATGTATTTGTTATTGTCTGTAATGGAGAGGAAAGAATTAATATTAATCATCTCAAAATATGTTAAACGTATATGCAATTAGCACAATGTATTTTCTAAGTGGGTTTACGAGTGTTTACCACGTCTTATTCATAATAATATGTGTTTCAGCTGTTTATCATGAATATACCTAACCTAACCTATACTATTATAAAGGTAACTAGTATACACCCCGAGGAGCGAAACATGTTTCCTCGTATGTGTAGGTATAGGTATAATAAAACGAGAAAAATAATATTCACTCAAAATTTTAATAATAATATAATAACATTAATTGTTAACCGTTGTCAATATGAAGATTTCCTCGTATTATCATATTAATATATATTGTTTGGCTTAACTGTATTATAATGAACATTATTATATTATTGGTATAAATTATAATTATTATTCATAATGATTTACGAAATATACCGAAATCTACTGATAAATACGTATATTATAGCAGGTACATATTATTATTATATGTACAAACACGATAAGGTCCGAAAGTCTCAACGATCTGATACAGACGAAACGCCGCAGAACAAAATAATGTACCTGTATAATAGTGTATACCTAACCACCTAACCACCTGACAGACGAGGTACCTATGCTCAGCTGGCCAGTTGGAGTTACGTAATTGCGAACGGCCGAGCACACCACACACACACAGCAAGCGCCTCCTCTTCGTACGGCGGCGGCTTCGGCTTCGGCGGCACATCGAAAGTGACCGTCGGTTCACTCTCACTATCGTTGTTGCGCTCCCAAGTCGTACACACACGCGGACGAATCAGATATATGTAGGTACCAGTTCACGAGCACACAGTTTATTATTTTCATAATAATCATATTTTAAACTATCCATATCCGATAACGAAGTGTACGTCGTCGTACATTTTTCCAAAACTATAAAGCAAAATAATAACAATATCATTTTCACTGTTTTTCTATTATCGTCTCTCTATTTTTTCTATCTAAAAAAAAAAAAAAAAAATCTCTCGCCAGTGGATTTGACAAAATATCAGATGGAAGTCATGAAGTACTCGGTGCTTCTTCTGTGCACCGCCGCCGCCATCTACACGCCCGCCTCTTCGGTAAGTTCATCGCAGTAGGTACCTATCTACCTCTTATCGTGCACAGTATTATAAATTATGTATTTTAAACGCGTTGTCGACGTATTGAACATATTTTGTACTTACCTCATAATTATGTATATAGTTTGGTTATTGCGGTTAATTAGTTCGCTTGAGACGGGTTCGTTATCGCGGAACGTATTTTCTACATCCTAATTGGATTACCAGGCCAAACACTTTTATTTTTTATAAATAAATTATAATGTTATACAATATTGTTATGGTAATATGATTTTTATAAAATTTCCCGATATTTTATGGCACAGACAATAATATTTTTATGTTTTTTTTATTTAATTTGCATTATATTTACCAAAAGGGTGTTCACCCGTTGATTAATAAACAAACAAATAAATAAATTATAGTATAATATAATATAATATGTAATAACCAGTCTTAGATGGACTATAATGATAAAAAAAACGTTTGGTGCTTAATTTTGTAGATAATGCCTCAAATATTTACGTGATTTCTGATGGGTATTTATATATATTTATAATTGATAAATTACAATAAACAGATTCACTTTATTTTTTAAAACAAACGAGTTAGATTTATTTATTTACCAAAAAGATAATCTTAGTATAAACAATAATGCACCTATTAGCTACTTATTGGTAAATTTATTCTATATTTATCGAATCCAAATTTTAATTTATTCAATTTCGTTGATGAATAAATTATGAAAAACTTAACTTATTATTATAGTGATAGTCGCCCATTAGTTTATTGATTCGTATTTTATTTTTAAACGACTTTTGGAATAAAGGTATACACATCTTGAGTGTTGCGCTAGTGAACATAAGGTACGCTAAATTTGGATCATATAAGTACTAAAAATATTTTCAATTTTATTTATCCTTAAAGTTACATATTATCTAAGACTGATAATAATATACAACTATTATTACTGATACATATTACATGCCTAAACCTCTTCTTAATAAAGCTAATTTGTTCCATTTCGTATAGGTATTGGTAATATTGATATCATTGAATATTTTTAATTCAATTAATTCTTATGCATATATTACATATATTTTTTAAATTGTCCGTGAAATGTACGTGGTTATCATATTACGTACAAAACAAAAATATCTTTATTAGAGACATTTAATTAAAAATATTCGACATTATTCTTATATTATAATAGATAACAAAATAGTAAACAAAACTATCTAGATACTTATCTAAATTTCTGAATATTAAAATGTTTGAATATTTAATAGTGAAAATCAGTAGACAGGTACAGCTGGTAAATAGCCAAGTGAATATAATAAAAATTATTATTATTCGAATCGTTATATTATAAAATCATTATCATAATATTCGTCATGACTGCAGCGGCCGAGTCGATGCACGGAAACGTTTTATTTTCGTTTGTCATTTAAACACGCGACTGCAACTTAACGAACGAAATCTCATCGTATCAAACGAAACGAAAACCGGTCGCTAAAATCTGGTTCCAAAATATATTAAGTTAATTATTAGCTTCAAACATAATATTTTATAAATTCAAGACGCTGCACGGGGCAGTGCACTTCGCTCTAGGGTCGACTAAATATCAAAACCTAATTTTGTGCACAAAAACGTCGAGTATTGTAACATGATTTTTGATAAAATTGAAATATTATACTCAAAAACACGAGTTCCACCTACATAATATACAATTACTGTTTAGCGATGAAAGTGTCGCTCTGTATCCGATGCGTATATTACAATATGTACGATTTACATAATGTAATATTATACTTTCCTATACCTATTACGAATGCTGACGCGAACGCATTAATCAAGGCGTAATTATTATTATTGGTGTGTGTGTGTGTGTGTGTGTGTGTGTGTGTGTGTGCTATATACACGATATATAGGTGTATCTATACATACAAATCCCGACGCGGAAGATATTAGAACCCATAAATCGCGGGTGAGGATGACTAGGTGTTATACTATTATAATATTATTATATCAAAGACTGCATGAGGACGAGCACACACACCGAACGGGTTACTCATCCGTCGCGTACACAATAATATTTACAAACGAAACGAACATCGCGGACGGACAAGGGCAAACGGCAGCGGCGCGACATTGGGAGCAGTGGCGCGGCGTGAAAGGGAGCAGCGGCGGCGGCGGCGAATAATACGCTAGCGAGAGTGCCGCCGACCGTTTTTCCAGACGACTTGTTTCGATGAAACGCATTATTGTAACAATATCAATCACAATATTATTATGTTATTATTGTTGTAAAGTTACGCTGCTTTTAAATGTAGGTATACCGGGTACCTGGTACCCCTCTAGATCTGTCGGTCGGTTTTCCCAAGTGTATGCGCCCGGAGGCGTAAGTCCTGCTCCGAATCATATAATAATATATTATATAAAAATAAACGTTTCTTTGTCCTCTGTACATCATAATGCTCCGAGACAATACTGGACCGTTTTCAATAAAAGTTATATCAATATAGATTCTCAGAGACTCGGCGTGTTTGTAGCTTATATTTCAACCCCTATTATGATTTATGATTTAGGTTGCTAATGTAATATAAAGGCGGCTCAACTCATAAATTTAAATTTGGCTCAGGAATAAAGAGTATTTTTTTTGTTAAATTCAATGGGTGCTATTGGTTGATTACAGTATATAATTATTATATTTTATATATAAAAATTCAAAAATATTAAAACGACATTTTTGAACGAAAAATAATCGGTCTAGAAACAAGCGATGTATTTTCAAATATTTAAAAAAATTATACTACGAAAATTATTACGAACTCAACGTCGTAAGACGTAATTAAAAAAAAAATTACATAAATAATAATTAGTTACCTAACACATAATAAAATGAGATGGTACTTAAATTAAACTATAAATTTCTTTCAATACTGCAGCAGTATACTACACGGACACCAAGTCTGGCAATTCTGCAGTTATATAGCAATAATGATAATGATAATATCATCGTCGTCGCTACTCGCTGTCATCGGGGGGCGGCGGCGTTTCTGTCTTTATTCGAAACGTTTTTCTATACACGTCGACGACGGCCGCGACGGTTATCGCAGCGAGTTTTTCGTCTCGTTCTCCGCGTCCCGGCGCACAACGAAGATCGCGCGCGACCTTGAACTTGCCTCAGCGCCCGAACGCTCCGCGGTCCAGCAGCGCCTCCACCGCGGGCCGTCACGACCGAATGGCGTTTTTTTTGTTTTTTTATTTATAATACACATAGCGGTATCATAATAGAGGTATATTATTATTATTATAAACGACGGCCGCGGACGTGGCCCGTAATTATTATCATACGTATTGTAATAATATATCATATACACATAACGTACCTGTTGTACGACGCGTGTGATAAGTCCATTATCGCGAAAAACAAATAACATATTTCGTATTGTGCTCACCGTTTTCGATGTTTTATTTCGTCTTCCCACTGTCTGTTTGGACGGGCGTCTCGAGACGTTATCGTTAATATCGTGCGAACCGTCCTCAAGTAATGTAGTGATGGGTCGTCCGAGCGATGATTTATGCTCGAAATGAAGTACCCATGATATAATAATATATTAATGCACGGCGTGATCTATTTAGCTAGTGGCTACACGTCACTCGTTTTCTGAGTAGATTTTTATGTTTTTCAGTGAAAAATGTTTTTACTTTTTTCAATATGATGTGGGTATGAATTAATATAATTAATTATACAACCATCCATATTTTTACAAACCATTTTATTTCTTTTTTATATTTTTCTTTGGTAGGTATAGAGATTTATATACCGTCTTTAATGGCAATCTATAATATAGGTTCATGTTTTATTTATAATAGTTAAGAGCACAACAGTTTTCCAAAAATATTGATGTATTTCTATCGAATACATCGAACTGAATACCTAAATAAGCGTGTATTACGTTGAACAACGTTTGGACAACTTTTGCGGTGTACCTTTACACCCTTGCTAAATTCCTTTATTTTTCCGCTGATCTAACTAAATATTAATATAAAAGTTCATACTTGTGTGATACCCTGATTACGAAATTAAAAATAATAGTTGTCGTTAAAATAATTTTAATACCTAACAGGCACTGTGAAACAACAAATAATTATCATTTTCGTGTGGTAAGTACTTCAAATATTGAACACTTTTTTTTCTAACACTTAAATTTACTTAGGTAATAATTAGTACTGCAAGTTAAATGGACACGCCGTATATTATATATACAGCCAGTTTAAGGCGATAGTAAGCACTATACAGTGTGCCATAAGTGATGATATGACTAAAATCGATATTGAATGCAGTAATAAGGTTCATCGCGGTATATGATCGTATTATTATCACACATTACCTACAAGTTCCTATTCGTCATAAACTGGTATACTCGTACTACCTACATATTGACATTTCATTATTATATTTATATATAGGTATATTATAGCCATGTAGGTAATATAGCACCAAAGTCGTTCATTTTCAAACGTGAATGTGATATACACAAAAGTCATAAATGGCAGGACTACAATGCATATTGTACAGGTATTGATTTTCGAATGGCACGCTTAGATTGACGACAAAACCTTATGCTAATTTCTTACGCATATTTTTTTTTTTTTGAATATAAGTAAAAATCCACGTAGGCTATTGTAAAATATGTTGAATATTGTGACATTGAGACATAATATTGTATACATCGCGCGTGTTCGATTCTTTCACAAAACACCAGAAATATAGGTACTACCACGTAAATTACATAATAATATGAAGGCTTTTTAATGTTTATATGCCGTGTTTAAGTTCTTTTCAGATTCAAATTTATTTATTATTTTTAATCTATTATAAGATATATGCGCCTCACGAGACTGAGCCATTTTTTAGTCTCTTGATGATTTCATAGTGACGCACATTGGTATTATACCTGCATACAATATATATATAGGAACATTAATAAAATAAAGTGATTTAAACGCAATAC